TTATATGTATATACATGCATACATACATACATACAAACATACTTACATTTCATCTGTATGTGTGTGTATATATTAATCTCGACTTATGTATGAGTTGCATTTGAATAATGTATCATATTTGTACGTTTTTCAGTTTGTATGTACATGTGCTGTCCTCTGGGAGACTACTAGCCACAGTGGTATCTATGTATGCGTGTATTTATATGCATCGACACTAGTATATTGCATATTCTGGTGTTATGTATACAGTTGTTTGTCTTTTATTTGATGACAGTACAAATATCACATCCTCAAGTAGTTATGAAGTTTGTTTGATGAATGTGGTTGTGCGTTGCATCCTGGATTTTATACTCAGTTATATCCCTAGCAGTCACTTCGATGGGGCCGCCAATGGACTTTTGGTTGTCGATCTCTGCATTGACTTCAGGCTCCGAAATGTTTATAGCACTGAATCTTTTGATACCTTCCATTCAAGAATCTTACATACTCAATTGTATATTGGGTTACTCGCTTCTACACGATTTAGGTAATTTCGAGCTCTGGCGTGAAGTTGAAGATGAAGTGGAGGCTAAGAAGAAGAAGAAAGAAGATGAAGAGGAGAATAATGCAATGAAGGTATATCGTGCGCCCAAGATTGGGCATGGCACATTACGTTGATAGAAGTGCGTGGTTGCATACTTCAATTAAAACTTGTCTCTATATTTTGTGTGTTATTGCACCTCTCTTTTTGTAGTTGTGCTTACAGTGACCTTAGTGATAATTGTATCGAGTTCATACTTCGCTACCAACTCCAGTAGTATATTTGTGGTCACCGTGCATATCGGTGAGGTTAAAGGCGTAAGGACACATTACTGAGAACACCAGTTGTAAATGTGATATACAAATGACACTAATGCATATTTACATATACCTAAGCATACCAAGGTCGAATTTCAGAATTACAGTAGGATATTTAATTAAAAAAATCACACTCTGGATAGCAGGTATTTGTACTGACGTATCCCGAGGCATTAGATAGCAGAACGAAGCAAACGAAGAAAGAGATGCACATGTTGGGTATGATAATCTTCCACTTACAGTAATATTTATCCGTTATAATAAATTTTGCAGGCCTTAGAGAACAGAACGAAGCAATCGAAGAAAGAGATGGACATGCTGGATACTCTCGAGGAGATCCGAGACATGAACGACAGGAATGCGGCCGTAGATGTCAACGAATTGATTCAGCAGAAGAACGATGCACTGGTCAAAGAGGTATGTGCAGGCTAACGTTTGTGTTTTGATTGCGTATATTGAATATATGCGCTCGCGTGTGTGTGTGGTGAAGGCGATTAAAGGTGTACCTTAGTCTTCGCCCCTTTTTTTACTGTATTGTGATGAAACAAGCTGTACCATTTACTGGCAGTACACACTCGTACCTGCTTTATGATCTCACGCTTGCGAGGGCATACTATACTTTGATATGATTGTACCGTTGCTGAATCGATGCTCTTGTGACTTATGGCTTTGTCTCTCCCCCCTCCTTCACACACACGCACATAGTTGCAAGACCAGGAAAAGAGGGACGAAGAGGAGATTGCCAAGATCTTCAACAGTACAGGTGCCGGGGATGACACTTCCGCCACAGACGGTGCCGCCGATAATATTGTGGTACCAGCTGTACCTGTTAAAGTCAAGAGATTGGCAGAATCCGACTCGGACGAGGGCCAATCAAATGTTCGGAAAAGGCCTGTTTTTGGCCAATCAGATAACCCGAAGACCAAAAAGGCTAAACCCGGGTTGGCAATACATACTATTACGGATCACAGCGAGCTTGACATAATACCTGAGATTGTTACAGTAAGTGCGAGCACCAATGCGCCTCGTTCTAAGGAGAGTGTGATGAAGAAAAAGTTTAACTTAGGGGCTATGTTGGGTATTGTGAGGAAGTCTGAGAAACCGGAGGCGGCAGTTGTGAAGAAGTCTGAAAAACCGGAGGCGGCAGTCAGTAATGTATTGGCTGGGTTGGGTGGGTATGGCAGCAGCAGCGAAGATAGCTCATGAGTGGGGTTCTATTAGTATTACCTCCACTATGCTTCTCCCCATTGAATTTTACATGTTTGGGTTCTGTGGTGGCCACGGTAGTAGTAGCAATGTCAGCGCTTATTAGATCCCTATCATCACTGATGGGCATTCGCACTCGCTTTCTTCTCGTGAAGTAGGGTATTACAAGTGACTTTGGAGAGGTTGGGTACACTAGGTGACAGCATATGAGAAGATTTTGCACTATCAGTGTTGTTCTGCCCGAGCCCCTTCCCATAACATGTTCAACAATTAGAGAGAGAAAAATGGCTCTGGTTGCGGCGATTGTTAGTTTAAAGGAGGAGTTCTTGATCACAAATATATTACTTGGCCCGAACTTGCTTGCAAGACATTGATGTATGACTCGCGCAAGCTGCTTGACATGCCACGGATCTTGCTTCGAGGCTGGCAGGCTTCAGGCTTGGGTGGCAACGGAATTGTGCGAACATAGCACGCGGGAAGGTCTTATATTGACATCTGATACAAATCCAGCATGTTTCATAGCAGGCGGTATTTACATTGACGTGAACATGGTTGGGTGTATTTAGTAGTGGTAGCGATCGCAGCACAGGGATGCGACTTTCGTAGTATTATTTTCTTAAATGCCATGCGCTAGTCCGCAGTGGGTTAGGCGGCTGTGCGATCATAGCACATATCAGGGTACGTCACCATCATACACGAACCTGCTTCACAGACGTCGGTGTTGATATTGATACTGTCAGGCTTGGGTGGTTATGGTATTGGTAGCGATGGCAGCACGTAGGAGGATCACCAAAGGCTGTTGGTATACGATATTTTGCAAGCCTATGTTTCAAGGCATATAAATACGATCGCACGTGCTTATTCGCGTTCGGCCCACTCGCTGATATTTTGCAAGCCTATCTTTCGAGGCATATAAACATAATCGCGCGTGCTTTTTCGCGTTCGGCCCACTCGCTGATATTTTGCGAGCCTATCTTTCAAGGCATATTAATACGATCGCGCGTGCTTATTCGCGTTTGGCCCACTCGCTGATATTTTGCGAGCCTATTTTTCAAGGCATGTAAATACGATCGCGCGTGCTTATTCGCGTCCGGCCCACTCGCTGAAGTCATGAGAGGCAAAGTGCAACGCTTCAGGAGTATTAGAGTAAAGGCGAACTATTGTATCAACTTGGCGTTTTCGGCCCATTGGCTTTGTTCTGAAGTACACGGCACATCCTTGTGGTACCGAACACGTGCGTCTAGAGGTGCCCTCTATGATTTAAACTAGATTTTTCCGGGTAGCGAGTTCTCCAAGCGGACCGATGCGTTGAATGTTTATGGTTATTGCTATGCTTTTGAATCTTTGCAATGCTGGTCCGATTTGAAGGAGGCTGCAAGAATATTTCCGCCATCATCCGCTTGGGTTGGGCTCTGATATGGACTTGGGGTACGAGTTGTTGTTTAGGTTGTGAGCGGGAAGTATCTTGCAGTTGTTCGTTTGTATTTCCAGACCAGGCAGGCGTTTTTAGATGGGTATAAAAATACTATTGAACAACTGAACAATTCCGATAAAAATTTCAGGCGAGTATTCTCGTCTACCATACGACATGGAATTACACCGTAACTAGCAAATGATGGCGATATATGGTATCTTTATAATAATGCGTCACAACAATATATTGTGAATGTGCTGTGAGGTAGACTTTGAAAAAGCCTCGACGGCTAATCAACACAGTCGGTGCATAACATGGCGAGAATTGGTAAGCAACTAGCCTGATAGTACCGACTGAAAATTGATTTGATATTAGAAGTATGGGATGGGCGTGATAGTGAGACACCGGCTATAGATAATATGCTATATCTCGCTAGCACATATGTGGCTTGGTGTTGAAGTCTTCGCGTCTCAAAATGTAAAAATAAAACAACCGCTTGTAACATACCAAAGTTTGCAGTAGAAGGGGTGAATTGCAATATGCGGCTTGACAAAGGTGCGATCGTCTCTTGCTGTGGCACGTCATGCAGAGACCGTGAATTAAATTAAAAATTTAACCGATTTATGCCAGACATCATGCACCTTGTAACGTACTGCATAATGTATGGATGGTGCACAAGTGACATATGAGAGATCGTCGACAACCCAAAGAGTAATAAAACGCTATAGATTTGTTGATAGACAAATAGTACATACTCGTCAGATCAGTTGCTTGCCAAAGCTTGAGAACTATCAACATATTTGCGTACTTATTGCAGAAGTTCATTTTGAGAAGGTCACAAGTTCATTTTGAGAAGGTAAACGAGCACCTTGCAATCTTTGGTTTTTATTTCCTCACTAAATCTGCATTGTGTCTTGTATGTATTGTCATCTATTGTTTGAGGATATAGCCATTTAGCCAGCTACTGAAACTCTGAATAGTTTGGCAGCAAGAGTTTTGTTTACAAACACATGTGTGGGGTATCTTTGGAAAGTCAAACTGAACTACAGAAGTCTGAACTCTTACACACACACTCTCCCTCTCTAGTCTCTCTCTCTCTCTCTACTAGCTATAGAGCTAGAGAGAGAGTAGAGCGACAGGAATCGAGTCTCGTCACTTGTCGGTCGTCACTCGTCGGTCGTCACTCGTCGGTCGTCACTCGTCGGTCGTCACTCGTCGGTCGTCACTCGTCGGTCGTCACTCGTCGGTCGTCACTCGTCGGTCGTCACTCGTCGGTCGTCACTCGTCGGTCGTCACTCGTCGGTCGTCACTCGTCGGTCGTCACTCGTCACTCGTCGGTCGTCACTCGTCGGTCGTCAATCGTCACTCGTCACTCGTCACTCGTCACTCGTTAAATACTCGTCACTCGTCACATAGCCGGACTCAGGGTAACCGGTAAATATCAATCCCAGGCACCCAGCCCCCAGGGCCCAGGCCTAAGGGGCCCTGTCCCGGGCCCTGCCAGGGGCCCAAGAGACCCTGAAAGGCTGAAACCGTGTCGGGCTGTCAGCAGTTCAGGCGCTCAGCTGGGTCAGCTCTGTTAGCCGTCGGCCTGCCGAGTCTAGAGTCTCACACGAGTCAGGAAACTCGGGTTAAAGACTGATGTTTCTTTTTCGGGGGCTATGCCACTATAGCGAGACTGTAACGAGTCAAGAACTCAAAACTCATGAGCTAAGGCGCCAGATGTACAAGCCTCAAGTCTGATGAGTGTCTGAGAGACGACTCTGAGACTCAGGGCCAGGGCCGCCAGGGCCGCCAGGCGCCCAGAGTCTTCCCCTAAATTATTTTTACTGCATTGCCTTCTTCTGAAAAGAAAAACCATTTCATGTTCAATTTTCAGACGGCTATCACTATGTGCGTTGTCAAGGAATTTAAAATTTTATATTATTGTACACTAAAACCTAAAATTCCGACCCCGGATTCTGCGATGATATCCGAATTGCGATTCTTGTTTCAGGAATAATATGAAAACAGCAGTATACACCAAGTCCTAATCATCCTTGATGGGTTTGATATAAATTGGAGCGAAGCAGTTCCAAAAAGTCAAAAACATTATGTACTCACAGACTCACATCATGAGTCACAAGTGAGTCAGTGACAACTTACAGAGTCACAGCTGGTGGAGCAAGGCAGCCCCAGGCCCAGCCCTCTGACTCTCTGAGAGAGAGGCGCCCCCAGCCTATATTTTTTTAATAAAAATACAATACAACAGTATACACTGTACATAATAACTAATTGTTCTATTTTTAAAACTACAACCAATATTTACAACAAATTGAATACATAAATAAGTATTTTAAATATATTTATGTACCTTCCCTGAATCCGGCACTCCACACTCTACAGTCCCCAATCCCCACTCCCCAGTGAGTCCACACTCCATAGAGTCCACAGTCCACACTCCGTTGAGTCCACAGTCCACAGTCCACACTCCACAGCCCACCCTCGACATTCACAGTCCACACTCCCCACTCTCCAGTCCCCTCCAGTCTCCACAGTCCACAGTCCACACTCCAGTCTCCACACTCCAGTCTCCACACTCTGTCTCTCACTCTCATCTCACAGACTCACACAGTCGCACAGGCCACAACTCCACAGCCCAGAGTCCCACACTCCCACTTTCGCACAGCTAACAGTACAGAGTCACCAGTTCTAGTGTTCTACACACAGTCACACACAAATACATAAACAATGATTACTATCTTACTAGGGAACCAATCAGAACAAAATATTGTGACTTTTCGTTGCTCCTCTTCATTTGTATTGGTACAATTTATCATATTTGAACGAACCATATATATTTCAAACTTCTTGAAAACAATTCTAAAAATCACAATACGATGAACTCCATTCTTCATGCCATTGACAACACAAATTGGACATAGTGATTTGAGTCATGTTTGTATCTCTGGCTCTGAGGCTCTGGGCCCTGGGCCCTGGGGCATGAGCCTATGCTTACAATCAATACACATACTGTTAATTAGTACAATATATATACATACATCCAGCGAAATAATACATCATCTGTATAAAAATTGTTCAGAAATATAGCCTATCTGTATAAATAACGCTACATGTGCTGAAAGTTACACTTAATTTTATAGATAGTAAACATTCACAGGAAACATAACTAACCATGATGAGTGCCGAAAGGAAGCAGATAGTACAGGAAGTACAAGAGAGGGATTCAGTGGTATTTGACGGGGATTCAATAGACGACGATAGGCTCAAGCCAAACTGTGATGATGGTGCTAGTACAATGTCGCAGGCTATTAGTCTGTCTGATTTAAATGGGAATCCAATACAGGCAAATACAGAGGTCCCGGTACCTGTAGATACAGAAAATTTCAAGGGTCAGATGTATGTCAAGATGAAGTGTGAGGATATGTTGGAAGACTACCACGAGTACTTTCACGGGAAGAAACGAACATTCGAGTTACAGGTATGAATGATTGTATGCTACTTTAATTTTGAGCAATGCTATTCTCATTGAAATACGCAAACGTTCGAGTTGCAGGTATGAGTGAATAGAATCCTTGGTTTGTATGTTGTCGAATTTTCGATTCACATGCACTCATGATCAAATACATGTAAGATATCCGTAGCGCATTTCTTATAAGCGCTATCATTTACATAAAAGAATATTTTTCTTCGAGGTACATGTTTGAATAAATAGCCATACTTCATTCGTAGTCTATTAGTCATATGCAATATTAGTTTGCGGGCTTTCCGGTCACAGGTATATTGAGCGCTTGTACTGAACATTATATGAATATTAATACAAAACCGAGGTAAAAAAAAGTATTTTGCTATTCCATGGCAAGATATAGTTTGGCATTAGCCTCGTATCTGATACAGGCTTTGTATTTCGATTGTTTTGTTTCAATTGTACATCCTTGTACGGTTTTCAATTTGTAGTATAAGGGTGGGGATTTGTATATTGACTGTTATTGGTAATTTATGATATGTTATAGAAGGCAAAAGTGGTCCATACAGGGCCCGTCGCTTTCTGTCCTTTTCTGTTTCATACATTCCTTCAAGGGTGTGAACGCACAGCTGCTCCACCTTGTTTTTGCTCTCTGGCTTAGCGGTGTATCGTCGCACAAATTTACCCATGCTGTACTTTCTTTTGTTAAAGTACACACATACCATGACAACATAATATTTAAGATACACTTCTTTTTACGAGTAGACTATTTGCAATATACCGATTTTTGCAGTATACCACTTTTGAGATACAGTCGATATTCTCATCTTTGTTTAGTGTTGTGCTTGAGTGATTCTCGTGTGTTTCTAAGCATTGTGGCGTGTATCATACGCGCTCTACAGTGACTGTGTTGTGTTTCATCGTCTATGTATGTTGTATAATCGGTGGAAAATGGCTGTCGAAGTGTGCCACATAGCAGAGCAGGTTTGTTTCATACTTCATCATATTGTGCGCGAGAGTATCACTGTCTTCTATGTAAGCAAATTTTCAAGTTTAATAGTCAAAATCGTACCATCGTAAGTGAGGCCCACTCTTGTATAAGACTGTACATCGATTGGTGGTAAGGAGAAGAGAATATGTGTATTGAAAAACAGCTTCCGATTCAGTTATGTGGCCTGCTTCTGATGCTTTGGCTCTGTATTCGACTGACTATTATAGGTACAAGGAAAGTTCAGTGGCATCACCGAAGACGATTGTGTATACCTGGGCGTGGAGACCCCCGAATATCTCAGGCTCGGTTTCTGGGCCCGTATGATGCTCACACTGGTAAAGGCCTTTGTGCACCGGATTGAACCCAGCTCAACCGTAAGCTTAGGAGACTACTACACAGGCGAAGTAGGGGCAATTTCGTTTCCCTTGCAAGAGTCATGCGACAGGCTGATGGTAACTCCTCCAGGTGAGGAACCGCCCAGTCTGAGCAGGAGCGACATGCTGCCCGAAGGCATGACCAAAGACGAGAGGAAAATGTACACTACGTATAACAATGACGACACCTACACACTGTCTATGCACGGCATGTACGTGGATTGGCTGAAGTGGCACGTGGTTAATATCCCCGGAGTCCCGGATTTGCACATGGAGTCCTTCTGTGATGACATGCCCGTGTCCATTGTGGCGTACACTTTGCCAAAGAACCATTCGGGATCCCACCACTGTGTGGAGAAGAAGTATATCTTCCAAGTTAAGATGTCGCCCAACAAGGAGCCATCGGGTGTATCCACTGAGACTGTGTCTGAAGGGTCAATTTGATGAGGAGTAGCGTGCTATAGTCCTAAATCGGTTTAAAATAATGCATCAAGACAATACATTTACATAACGAGAATAGTCAAGTTCAATTGCCATACTTTCTGCACAGCCTTGCAGAGCGATCGACAAATAGCGGCTCGGTGGTCAAAAGTAGCACGTTAGAATGTTAAGCATGCCTTTACTTTTTACATAGGCCTTTGGTCTTACATAGTAGTGATCATACTGTCGCAACATTCACCACAACGACTCCACAATCTGGTTATGCATACACAGCGCTTGTGTTAAATTGGATAGTTCACGATTGCCTGTACGAATGTAATGAAAATATGGAGTACCGTTCGTCCGGATGTAGCTATGGTCTAAAGATTAGCCGTCCAGTTTCGCCATATCATGACATTGCAGTTTTTTCCGGTTGCCTTTTTATTGATGGAACCATAATCCCTTTTTATTCTTCTTACAAAGGCCTACAGATGTAAATATAAAATAGTCGCAACTAAACTCGCATACGGATATATGCAGCAAATATAAAACACTCATGCTGAACATAAATTGTGTGACTAGGACAAACAATTGAAGTATATATATATATATA